AAAGTCACATCAGGGCAGGGCCAAGCCCTGTGAAGAAATATGACCCTCAGCTGGACTGTTTTACCAGTGGGGAAACTGAGGCACATAGCGGGTGGAGGTAGGCCACGGTCAGGTTCCCAAGCCCCTCTGCTCTAACCCACAAGACTCCCCTGCCCTCCCCGAGCAGGGCAGGGAGCCCTAGTGGTTACATCTGTGCAGCTTTGTAGAACCTAGGGCTGTGAAATATCGGTTAATTGAACAGTCCAGTAACCGCGTGCCATTTTATCGGTAGTCGACTAGTCTATAGTCCCCGGGAGCGGTGCGGGGCCGGCAGCGGCGCAGGGGGCGAGGTGGGAGCTGGTCCACGAGGGGATCCAGTTTAAAACCCAGCTCCACACGCCGACCTGTCGCCCTGCACTGCGGCTTCTAAGACAGGGCAGCAGCCCTTGTCAAGGGAGGGCTCTGAGCTTCCAGACCCTGCACCAACCAGAACACTGCGGGGCTGCCTGCCCGGCTCTTAACACACCTGAAATGCAGAGAGTTTCAACGGGGGCAGGTCCCGGAGCCAGATGAGTCCAGGCTGAGCCAGGCTGCCTGCCGGCTCAGTTCCTAACACGCTAGAAATCGAGAGCGGCAGCAGGCGTAGGGCCTGAACCTACCGCAAGCCAGGACTGAGCCGGGCTGCTGGCCAGCCTGCTAATAAAGGAACTGGCAGGGAGAGGGAAACGTGCGTGTCGTCTATTGCATTAACCTCTACGCTTTTGCTTATCAGTTAATCGACTCCACTATTCCATCCCTAGTACTGGGAGCCTTCCCCATTGGAACTGGGCCACAGAGACCGGTCTTGTGCCAAGGGGTCAGCCCCCCCTTTCACAGCTGGCCCCAGAGCTAGGGGCTGGCTGGACCAGGGGCCGGCTGGACACGGGGCCTTCCCCCTCTAAGAGGAGCAGGTTCCAATCTAGCCCTTGGGCAGGGGACTGGCTAAGAGGGGGGGGGGGGGGGGGGTACGTGTAGGCTGCAAGCTTCTTTCGAAAACGTTTCTTTCGCAAGAGCGTCCACACCTCAAAACCAGATGCGCTTTTTCGAAAGAGCGTCCAGCCAGCACGGACCATCGGGTTAGTCTTGAAAGTGCTCCAGCGGCCTGTTTTGGTTTCCTCTCGAAAGAAAGCCCTGATTGCTACTCACAGAACGGCCACCCCGGGGGGTACGTGTAGGCTGCAAGCTTCTTTCGAAAACGTTTCTTTCGCAAGAGCGTCCACACCTCAAAACCAGATGCGCTTTTTCGAAAGAGCGTCCAGCCAGCACGGACCATCGGGTTAGTCTTGAAAGTGCTCCAGCGGCCTGTTTTGGTTTCCTCTCGAAAGAAAGCCCTGATTGCTACTCACAGAACGGCCACCCCGGCCCCTGTGCTTTTTTCGACCGGCTCTTCCTTCAAAACACGTCCCTGTTTTGCGTCCACACGTGCCTTTTTTTCCCCCGAAAGAGCTCTTTCGAAAAAGGCATTCTTCCTCGTAATGTGAGGTTTCCTAATGTCGTAGAAAACCCGCCTTCTTTCGATTTCATTCCAAAAAAGCGATTGCAGCGTGGACGCAGGTGACTTTTTTTTTTTTTTAAAGGCAGGTTTTTTTCAAAAAAATAATGT